GTGTGTGTGTGAGAAAGAGAGAGCGAGAGAGAGAGCTGTGCGTGTGTGTGTGTGTGTGTGTGTGTGTGTGTGTGTGAGAGAGAGAGAGCGAGAGAGAGAGCTGTGCGTGTGTGTGTGTGAGACAGAGAGAGAGAGAGAGAGAGAGAGAGTGCGAGAGAGGACGGATGAAAGGATAGACGGCAGCAGAGCGTCCCGTTGCGCAATCATGCGTGTACGCTAGTCGCGCGATCACTGTGCGAGTGGATGTCCGGACGCGTAGCCTGGAGGCTAGGCGACCGCTTCCGGACGCGTAGCCACTGCGGATTAATTAAGGCATTAGTACTAGTAGTACTAGTACTAGTAGTAGTAGTAGTGAATTTACTATCTACTAGTACTAGTCTAGGAAACAACAACACTGAAACAGTGCAATAAGTTTAACGGACCTGTGGCGTAGTGTGTTGTAGTCTGTAGAATATACTGCGGTCAATTAAAAGCCAAGTAAATTATTGTATCTGCTTACTTTAGGATATTCGGCATCCTTGTCAGCTTTTCCAAATACTCTATTCTCCAACACATCAATTCTGTTTTCTATTGAACCTAACCACATATCAGACATGTTGCAAACAAGTGCGCCACCTTTCGGATGAAACGCCGTACCCGCCCGTGCTGTTCCTATGTTTCAAGCCAAGAGCATGTGATGGCGCGGCGAGCGGCGTACGATCGAAGAAATGTGTAGACTGGTTCTCCATCAGATCCCCTGTTATTCTGCTATGTGATAATACGTATACTATAATATTTACTTTATTGAAAAAGTGAGGACAGCGGACCCGTCTAACTGGCGCCCTGGTCAAACCACAACAACAAAGACACAACGCCACTGCAATCTGTATCAGTTTTAACTTGTGAATTTTTAGCGAGTTCGTCTGCGAATGCTAGAGTGATGGACATGAGAAAACGGAAGCAGCAGTCGGCGTTTGATTCGACGCCAATGGATACGATAGAATCGACGGTAGGGGTGACCTATGTCTGGCCTGCGGCAACTGTACGCGGGCTATAGCCAGTAAACTGTATAGGCTAGCACAGGCACTTGGAACGTCTCAATAAAAAAAGGTAAATAAACACGAAATGTACCAAAGTCTTAATGTTTCTCTACTCTATTTCGCCTATAATCACCTGTAAATGCCAGTCAAATGCTCATCTGCAACACACAAGTACACCGCACGACCGCCCGCGCTGTGCTGCGTGCACAAACAACATGAATAAGACTCAAGAGAGCAGGTAGGAAAGCGTGATCGCAAAATTGGCTTGACGCTCGCTTCATTCCACACGATCACAGAACGAAAACACATCCAACAGCCTCCATCTTGGTATCTATGTGTAGCTAAATGTTCACTTGTTCGAATTATAACTCTGTCCTTTGTTCTTAGACCTACTCCAGCCAGAGATATCTCGTGAAATCCTGCAGGAAATGTTCTCTCCGTGAAAATGTAAAGAGGACGAGATGACTGTTTATACACGAGTAATGGGGCGCATTGCATGCCGGGATGAGCTGCTTCCTGCCTCCGAGCTCCGTTTCGAGGCCCGCCAAGCCAAGCTGCACGCATAATCAGGGCTGCCAACCTTGAGTAAGAGTTTTGAGTGAGACATTGCGAGGGAGCGGAGCGACCAAGCCCGAGAGAGCGAAGCGACTGAGCGGGGGAGGGTGTGGGTGGGAGGTAGGGAGCTTCGGCAATTTTGCATTTTAAATGGTGCTATCTGGTGCATACTTTAGTCCTGATTTCAACACATACATACAGGCGTGGAAATCCATTTAGAAATATGGGGGTGGGGGACACCAGTAGCGAGCACGCGAAGGTGGGGGGGTCTGGGGGGTCTGGGAAATTTTTTGAAATTAGACCCCCTCAGATGCATTTTCTGCACGAGCAGGGGTGGGTCCGGACCCCCTGGACCCCGACCCCCCCCCCCTGTACACGCCCCTGCACACACACACACACACACACATGCATTTGGTTTGTGATAAGATTACGAAAAAGGTGTCCACATGCAGTCATAAAATCAAGAAAACAAAAAGCAGAAAACCAATCATTTGGTGTTGAGGCTGATCACAAAATAAATTGGTCCGTTATTATTGTTGGTCCAGTCATATCATATATGCGTGTATATATATCATCAATTTAAAATGAAAATTACATTATTAAAACCGATGCTCAGTTACTCAGTGTCCTCTTTGCGTGAATATAGCTCGTGTTCCCAGCTTAATCCTTGAATCAGTGTCTAATGTGAGTGATATCTCCTAAACTTTCATAAACATACTTTCTCTTGATGATTTCTGCATAAGAATTATTTAATATAAGAGAAAAACGTGTTAAAAAAGAAACGGTACTAAATTTATTAAGACACATTTTTCTTAAGTTGTGCATGATCATTATTATGCTCTCAAATGCACTTGAATGAAATGAAAGCTGGCAAAAAAAAGGGAAAGAAGCGAATCAAGCACTATCACACACACACACACACACTTTCACACAAAATCATGGTGATCCAAAATCGTGGGGGGTGGCATTTGATATGATGTCCCCCCCTCTGAAAATTCGTGGGGGGACATGTCCCCCTGTCCCCCCCCCCTGGATTTGCGCCCCTGATACATAGAAGCAGCATTAAATTGAATTGAAAAATAATAAATAGATTACATTGTTAATAGATTAGATAATAAATAGATAATAGATAGATAATAATAAATAGATTACATAGCTGCATGTAGTTCACTGACCATGAAAATTGCAAAGTTCCAAATTTGTAACTGCAGTATTCCAACTCAAATGTCTTTATTAGCTTAGTGATGTACTATGAAGACATAGACCTCTACAGGATTAATTCAATCTGTAACAAAGAGAAGCTTGCTCTGCTAAGCTAGCCATAGTACTACTACACTCACCATGCACTGCAGCACAATAGTCGTCACACGTACACGTACGTACAGTCGTACACGCAGTATAAACCAATCGTAATCCAATAGCTCGTCTTTCCACGGCAACAATTTTCATTTGTTAAGCTTTGCGCGCAGTGCACGCCTGCGGGAAAATCTCGGAACTTTGGGCTTGGGCTTGATATCGAATGTTCGGAATCCGAATATCAGAGATTTTGGAGATATATTTTTTTTTACTTTCTATTTTCTGAGTTCAGCGTGAGACAGTCAGAATTGGGTGAATTGCGTGAGTCTCACGCCGAATGCGTGAGAGTTGGCAGCCCTGCATAATGCGTGCGGGCATGACGTCACAGAGACAACTACGTTCATTGGTTAAAACAATCGAGTAGCGCCATTAGAGATTTTCGGATGATACGTCCCATTTACAAAATCTAGGAGTGGAGTTTTCCCGCATGATTTCACGAGATATCTCTGGCTGGAGTAGGTAAGAACAAAGGACAGAGTTATAATTCGAACAAGTGAACATTTAGCTACACATTATCATAGATACCAAGATGGAGGCTGTTGTTGGTGTATTTGTGCTGTGAAGGTGTGAAATGAAGCGAGCTTCAAGCGAATTTTGCGATCACGCTTTCCTACCTGCTGTCTTATTCTTGTTGTTTGTGCACAGGGCGTGCGTGCGGTGTACTTGTGTGTTGCAGATGAGCATTTGACCGGCATTTACAGGTGATTATTGGCAATAATAGGCGAAATAGAGTAGAGAAACATTAAGACTTTGGTAGTAAATACATTTCGTGTTTATTTACCTTTTTTTTATTGAGACGTTTCAAGTGCCTCTGAGCTAGGGGCCACTGTAGACATACGCGTAGGTTACCGTTTTGTCACACGATTACGGATTAGTGGTGCCGGTTGGATACGGTAACATAATAATCCAATAGTGTTGGTTTACATGATTGACATTGTATGTAGACTGTTAGTCAACGTGCATAGATTCTAAGATTCTTCTCAAGTAGGATTGCGCTTAGACTACGGACTACTAGTAGTACCACTAGCAGCCCTTGCAATTATCAACTAGCCTCGGGTGAGCATTAATTTCAAGCCCTGTATCATGAACATTACATACCTATAAGTACTGCATATGTCATATGATATGTTATATGGTGGTATGGTCCTACTGCTGGTAGGATTACAAAGTGCCTGAAATGACAAAAAATAGTCTAAGACTTAGCAGGCTAAAAACATGGTCTTGGATGATCCATGGTTTGAGTTCTAGTTAGTCTGCATTGCCCTGCTTGTGTCAAGGCATCTTTTATTCAGTTATCAGCAAGTAGCCTTAGTAGGCCTCTGCCGATGTGTGCACATAACCAGTCTATTCATATCTACCTGAGCAAAGGCATTTACTTTACCCTTTGTATTCTAGGATAAGGTCGTAATTCTCTCCTGGGAGTGGGAGTAAATTTTGTGAATATAAAGTCTGGCTTGTATGGTCTATAATCAAAATAGGTATAAACAATATGTACATACTTACATCCATGGTAACTAATTTAATTACAATTCATTACCCATACTAGGCAAAGCGGTTATGCACTGAGGCGTTAATCGGACATAATCTACACAATGGACACAGTGGACTGCCAGACAGTTGCAGCCAACGATTAGGAGCATCTGTCAACGAAGAGGTATTTCCAGACCTTGTATATAACTTTTTGGAAATTAAAAAGCTTATCTAGATGCGTAGGTAAGATGATCATCACTTATACATCCTTAATGTTTCTATGTGACACTCACCTTCTAAGTTCCTTGGCTAAAAGATATTGTAATGTCAGTAGTAATGATATACCATTTTGACCTGTGGTCCTCTATTATAAGTTAATTGTGATGTTATAAAACGCCCATGTATGTTAAATCTCTGCTTGGAAGAAGCTAGCAACCTTTACTAACTAACATAGGATGATATCATTACACCGAGCATATATTATTTCATGTCAATTTTTCATCTGCAATTACTGTTCCATCTAATACTAATTTACATGTACTTATGGTTGTGATATCAGGTGTACGGAATACAAACCTTTTCGTTTAAGGTTAATCGCACAGAATGTGCAATTGGTTTGATGCGTATAGTTCCCGAAGTCCCTAAAAGGTGTCGAAAGTGTGCAGCAGGGGATTCTGTAAGTATAGTCTTTGCAACATTATAAAAACTTGTACTGACATTTATTCTGTCTTGTAAAAATTAATTCATGTAAAAATTATTCAATTATAATAAAATATATCTGTGATGCTGATAATTGGTGCATGTAATAAGTGACCCCTTGGTGTAAAACAAGAGTTTTAAATGTAAAACATTAACTAGCTACCAGGAATAATGATCTACAGAATTTACTAGCCCTTGGCAATATCTAGCAGACGTTAATTCTGCGTTGCACTGAAGCAAGCTATTAGCCATTCGTGGGGTAGTGGCGGAGTACAAGATAGGATATCTAACAAAGATCAAACCAGGTTTTTTCAGATCAGTAGCTCTTCTGTCAAAGGTTCATGCGCTGTGTGCAAACCCTGTTGCAAAAATTGAGTTGTCAAGTGTTAGTTTCTAACCTGAAGTGTTTATATCTTGTAATATTGTAGGGCCATATTCGGCATTTACTCGAGTGAAGCGACATCAGTGACCTGGCAAAGATAGCGACATGAACTGTGAGAGGCGACTTAAAAAGTAGACCAGCTCTCTCCACATACACTCACATCGGCAGCTATTGTCTGTAAGCTCAGATGTAATATTCAGGTCTGCATGAATTGTGATTATCAATGGCCTAGCATGCTCTGAGTAAGCATTTTTTATTTAGGTTAACTCGTTTTGCTTAGGTTACAAAACCTAGCCTGATCTGAAATCTTTTTACTCACATTCACTCGTGCATGGTGCAACACACTATGGACTGGATCAAAGTTGAACGCAGTTCAATAACCCATCACGATGTGATTTACAGTGCTTGCCTGGTTTTAAGTGTGTAGCAGCAGTGGAAAAACGTTTCCTTGTAATTATGAACTCCTTTGGAAGTGACCCCCGTACTTCACATCACTTAAAATGGCAATTCAGGCAACATCAGACCCTGTGCAGCACTCTAACATGAAATCTGTTTAAAGAAATGAGATGAAGGCGAGTAAAAATTGCGTACTTCCAACATGTAAATAATGTGAATATAATAAGTTATTTCAGATAATATGGATTGAGTATAGTCATTGTAAGGTGTGTGGTCAGGTTATATGCACGATAGCAAACATTTCAGACCAGCCATCTTCTGAAAACAAAAGGTACTCTACCAGGTATGATTGTTAAATCTGCTTAACAATTGTGAAATACAAATTACAGCAGGTCAAGTTCAATGTGAGTTAGTGATAGACAGGTATGGTATATATATAAGGTTCCGTCTGTTAAAATTAGTGACGTGAGATAAAGAAGAAACTCTAATGAGGTTTCAAAAAAGCAAAATTGATGCGGCACATGGCTAGATTGTAATCATTGTGGTAAAAATTACACATCAGAAATATGCTGGTGTCAATAGTCGTATGTGTGTGTGTGGGGGAGGGGGGCTCCAATAGTGGGAAATCTTGATTATTTTAATGTAATGTGTTTAGCTGCATATAATTACTATCAGGCTTCTCCAAGAGCACTTATAGCCTGGCGCCTCGCCAGGCTATCGTCGAGCCCCGCCATCCTAAAATGCACCCGTTACTCTAAATATCATAGCCACCATGCTGGTGTATACACAAGACGTTCAAACAATTAATACACGTTGTTTATATCGAAATAAACTTTGAAGTGATATGCAAAACAAAGATTTTCACCCCACATGCAGTGCTTCAAATTTACACACAGTGTCCCAGATTGCATCTCAGAGCTTCTACAATTCAAAAATTTTCTGGGGGCATGCCCCCGGACCCCCCTGACACGCAAACCACCTTCGGCGATTTGCAACTAGGACCGTAAAGGCAGCACCCCCATGCTATAACATAATGAAAAAAGCTTGGCGAACCCTGACTATAGCTGCAATAATGCATATAATTACCTATTAATGTAATTTGCAGATAAGGCTATATAATGCAATTTATTATCCACACACTGTGCCTATTAAAATAGGGATATCTTTATTTTAACAGTAATTTGGTTTTACATGACATTTCTGCTAGTCAGTCTCTGTAATGTCGCATTACGTGCATGTCCGAACATTTTATATATATTTAATATCACAAACCTATGTATACTGTAGTGTGTTGGTTCAAGATATAAGCGTTGTGTACACATTTAAGCGTGCTCCTGATGTAATTGAACACATCAGTTATGCCATCTACTCCCGCGAGAAACAATTTACGAAATTGCATACCACATTGTGTGAATGCAGCTTTGGTGTGGTGTGTGTAGCAGTGAACTATATAAATAAACCAGTGCATAACCACTAGGTTGCATGTGTTACGTGGGAGTGTTGTCAGAATGTTTAGGTTTATATCAGAACAATTTCAATTAGCATATTGGAGTGCTCTCTGTAGCAAGTAAAATATCTGGTCAGTACATGTTTAAAATAAACCTGAACGTGGGAATGCAATGGTGCTTTCTAAAGATTATACTTTAAAGGACGTGTTATATTCCTCAGCAAAAACTTCAAATAATTTTTATACACATTATTTTAGTTGGTATCTTGAAGAATAAGTGACCCAAATCTAAGTAATATCAGGAGTTAATAATGACAAAGTTTACTTTTGTAATTACAAACTCCTGGTAATATTAATAATAATACAGAAACTACAGAAAAGTTAACGTTAGAAAACACCACCCTGAAAATGCTTTGCTTATGAGCGAGTTTGTTTTAAAAACCTAGTCTGAAATTTAAGTGATTTTTATTGCTAAAATTAAAATAATGCACAATTATGAGATCATCTGACGAAGTCAGATGCAGCTTGTAGAATCGCATGATTGTGCGTCCGTCCGTCCGTCCGTCAACAGTTGGGCACAAATCTTAACCGCTCGACGTACGGTCACGATATTCGGGACGTCAGGGGGGGATCGTGAAAGGGACTCAGGATGACAAATTTGGGGGTCAAGGGTCAAAGGTCAAGATGTATAAACGGAGGGGGAATATTTCCCCCCTTAACTTAAGGTATAGGAGGAAATGTGGAATCGCGGCACAAATCTTAACGGCTCGACCTATGCTCTTAATATTCGGTGTATAGTGTGATGTGCAGGAAACCCATCACCAGTGCGCAATTGGAGGTCACAGGTCAAAGGGCAGTGGGACGAGGTCAAGATATCAGACATTGTTCTGAGGACAGATGGCCTAATGGACAGAGTGAAAACTTTGTTTGTTTACAGACTGCTGTTTTTGTTACTTTTTATGCCTCGCACTTTATTATCCGCTCATTGAAATGGACCTATAAATTTTGTGCCTTTCCACTGACGGCGAAGAGTAAGTGTCTTAAACCTTTTGACCCTCAGAGGAGGGTTAAACATGGATTCCTGAACTGCCTCAGTGACGTCACAGTGTTGTCATATACATGGCACATCCATAATCTAGAAACCCAAAACTGCGTATCTGCGCCTAACAAAGGTGTCACTACGCACAACTTAAATGTTACGTTTATAACCGTAGCAACAGATTTCAGATGAGCCCAGACGCTCTGCGGCTCTTGTTAATTATTGTTAACTCTTGTTATTCAATGACTAATATTCAAGTCATTGGTTATTGGCAATCAGTTTACATGTAAAATGGATTGAATTAGTATAATGCCTGCAGAAATGTTACACTGTAAAAAACTACAAATGCCAAGATTTGTACAAAACGTCTCATTTAATGATTGCAAAAAAATACACTATTGCATTTATCGGTCGCACAACATTCATGATAAGTAACACTACACTAGAATAGTGTAGAAAATCGTGATAAAAGTATAGAACTTGATTCAAACAGTTTTTCTTCTAAATATAGCAATAATTCCCACTAAAAGACAAAATGACATCTTACAAATAAAAACATATTAGGCAAGATTCAATTTAAGAGATTCATGTAGAGATATATCTGATAACATGTACATATAAAGATTATACGTGCATGTATAAGTATAAGATATAAGAATATGTACAATTTTTTTAAAAACAAACATGGAATGTGTAAATGATTTAGTAATAAAACCTGTACGGAGATTACGTATTCTATGTGTAATATTACAGTGCATATTTCTATGTGAGTATTGAGTATTCTCTAACTCTCTACTTCTACTACTTCACTCAATATCTTGATTGATTACTTCTTACAGATATATCAATTTGATAAACATCAACATGTGTAAATGGTCGACTTCGGTAAAAATGTGACAAACTGGTTGATAAATGAGAGTATTGGGAGAAGCCATTCTCTTCAAGGACACCACGCTGTCTCCAACTGACGATGGGGTGGATCGCTTACTGAGCGCCCACATGGTTAATCTGAGTAAATGCCGATACTTACACTGTACATCCGTGGCATACGACGCCTTTGCCATTCACGCAGTTACAGTAACCTGACGATGAGCGCAGTCGCGAATAACAGTACACTCATGGATGTAATTGAAGGGGAGCCACTGATACACAGTGTGTTTTCGATGGCAGTGATGAACTCTCTGCCTAGATACTTGTCGTATGTGTTGCGCTCGCCCACGGGCTGCAGACGCACCGTCGAGTCCTGGAACATCAGGTCGTGATGGCCTTCCGGTGACACGAACATCTTGAACCTGAAACATGAGGAAATGCAATGCTGACGTTTACAACGTGCCAGATTGAGAAGCACACACAGCTCTGCAGGACAAAGTGTGCCTCACGACTAGATGTGGTTACTGCAAACAAGAAAACAGACAGGCGTACTACCAGGAGGACGACGCACAATATCTTCTTCTTTAGCTTTCTGCATACGCCTTTCCACATCGATATCCAGTCTGTCAGATCAGTTACGGTCATATACCTTGCAGAAACATTTCTCAATAGTAATCGATGTTATATCACTTACTTATATTGAGAATAACGTACCTGTCGCCTTGCTTCGAACTGAAATATTGCTGCCCGTACATCAGCAGATCGATGTACGTCTGAATTTCTTGCGGACTCTTGCCTCCCTGGGTCATGACGACGTGAGATGGCACACGGCCAAGGTTACAGGTGCTCCACTGCTGCACATGTGCTCGTGTTCCGTCCAAGCATAGCAGCTCAAAGTCATCAAGAATTGTGCCTGTTTAAAAAAACATGTCTCACCTGAATACAAGCACCATCTCAATAGAAAGTGACAGAGACTCATTTTCAGGCACAAAGCAAATGCAATTGCCAGCACATGCTCATCTAAACTACGCTATGCCCCCGTGAACAAGTTGGGCAGGCCATCAGCTATCGAAGAAACCTACTGTTACTTGTTAAGAATAAGATGTGTTGAGCTTTTGCTATGGTATAAATGTTTAAATCACACGAAAATGCACCGTTTTTTTTATTAAATCTCATTTCACATGATATCTCATACAAATCGTTCTTTTATATGCCACAAACTATCACCTACACGAATTTCTCACTGTCATAATTTGCTCTAAACACTACAATGGCCACATAAGTAGTATTACTTATGGAAAATGTTTAACTGATATGCATACCTCTTATCCAGATGCCTGGACTCTGGCCATCAGTGTTCTCAGCAACTGTGGTGTGACGCACAAAGGCCACATCCCCGAATCCTTCCAGCAAGCACCGCAGGGCGCCACTGTAGCCATAATAAGGTTCACTGTCATCTCTTTTGCAGAAAGCGCCTGCAGAAAAAAACATACAATGTTCTAAAAGATGTTCTAAATAAACTTGAGACATTGTGCGGACACCTCGGTTAAACCAGTTGGTAATTCACTGTGAGCACTACGCATTTACAAAACCTGATGAATGAAGATTTCGCCATCACGCTTTCATTTGCGAAATGTTACAAACTCAATCGAAGAAATTTTCCTCGTTCTGTTTTACATCGCAGTGGTTACACGCGCTACGCACTTGCCATTAGACCACGAGTTTGCAACCACCGTTATCGTAGCAATAATCTCCGTCACGTATCACGTGCATGCGTAAAATCGCGCCCCACGGGGACGTACCTCCCGTCCCGCGGCACAGCGAGCACAGGTTCGGTGGGTTGCGATGCTTGGGGTCAAACTCCGGCGCCAGCGCGCCCGGCACGCAGCTCTTCTCGAAGAACTGGCCGACTGCGTAGGCAATGTCGCATGTATCGTCGCGCCGCGAGTCGATCCGGATCTGCTCCAGTGCCAGCAGCAGTCCGATGGGCATGATCCAGCCAGCCGTCTTCCCGATGCCGGTGTGGCAGGAATTCTTGCCTTCGGAGACAGGCAAACAGTATCTAAGCAACGTCTATTGTTCTTCTCTGTGTGGTGATGTATACAGCATTGTGTCACATTCGCGCTACTGTCGGATAGCACTAAATACATGCCCTAGGAAAGTGCGCGTAATGTGCCGGTGTCACACATACGACAGAATGGCATTCATGATGTAATAGTTAGATTCAGTGCGATGGCATGGTACATTGACAATTTGTTTGAAAGCCGATGAAAGCTCAGTGACATAATCATACCTCTCAGCTTCAGCAAGTTGGTATCTTTGTCCTGCTTCAAGCTCACGGCGACAGAATAGTAGGCCGCGTCACCGGAGCCATAGTCCTCGTATACGACTGGCACCATTCCAAACCCACTGTAATTAATGTACTCATGCTACACTTTCCAACGTAATCGGCAAGCGCAAGCGGATCACCTACAATACGTGCAGTTGTCCCATTAATTTCCCGTTTTGAGCACTTGAAAAAGAAAATACTCTTAAGATTCCATAGGCTAATCGTATCTTGGCCAATGCATAAGACTCTATACATCAGTTACATACATATAAGTGAGGCACATATACGACTGTCTCCCATTAATGCTGTGCTGGCGGAGCACGCCCGAGAAAATTCTTACACCCGTAAACACGCCCAGTCGTCAATCGGCGCACGCGAGTACGGTCGGATACTCACATGCCAGCCTCGTAGGCCTCGCCTCCGTCCAACGACACCATGTCCGCGACGCCGTCGCGTACGAAGCGCATGCACTCGACCTGCGACTGCGCTGAGACACAGATGAGCTCGGGCCGCAGCAGCTTGGCCTCGAACGCGCGCTTCATGTTGTCGCACTTCTCGCGCTCGTCCGCCGACAGCACGCACCAGCGCATGACGGCGACGGGACACGAGCGCAAGCCGTCGATGATATCCGTCTTGTATGCACCTGTACGGCAATGCTGTTATTATGACATCCTTGCCGGAGGAAGGCCCCCCTCCAGGGCTGATGCGATGATTCAGGGCTGTAGCCAGGAATTCACCATGGCAGCGCCAACACGGCAGGCTTGATTAGATTTTAGACTTTAGATTTAGGTTTTAGACTAGACAGGTTGATTAGATTTCAAAACCGATTTTAAAGAATGTTGCATGGTAGTTTAACAGAAGTATATGGATTTTGCTGTTCAGTTTTGATAATATTCCTTTTATAAATTTCAGAAACATTTTTGATCAGCAACTATTTTTCATTAGTCTTCTGACAAAATTCATATACCTAGGTAATCCCGAAGATTGTTTCTTTTACCAACATCCTCTAGGCCAATTGCTGCATCTGAGAACATTAGGTTGCGCTTCCCATACTTCCAAGGCGAACCAAACACCTGAGAAAAAGCACTCCATCAATTCACATTTTCTCACATAGTGAAATTTCAAAACAGTAAATAGAGTAGGCCTATATGGCAAAAATTGTCATTATTTATACGATTACTGAAGTAATACTACTATACTGTGTTGAGAGATTTCACCTCATGAGAAATTAGATGTTTCCATCAAGTACATAAGACCAACTACACTGATATGAACATAACCAAAGCATGCAATGAGAGTAGAAAGCCATCAATCCAAACACATGACCAACGAATTTCTAACAAACGGCCAACAAATCAACGAACCCTAAAGTCCCTGCTGTTCCCAGTCTGGTTGACGCCCACGTACGACGTGATGCCCTGAGTCTGTGGTCTGAAGCGCGCCTGCACCTGCATCAGGAGGTTCTTGTACTCTGCCACCTCGGCTGGTGTTTTCGCGGACAGTGTCATGACGGCATTGGACGGCACCGTGCCCCAGTTGCAGGACTCGTAGTTTCCAAGAGGCTGTCTCCTGCCATCTTCACACAGGAGTTCAAAGTCCTGCAATGAACGTTGATCCCAATAAGGTAAGCGCCGTAGTACGATGCCAAGGCTCGTGTGTGCAATGAGAGCTGTATTACAGTATTCTACATCTATGTATATAATATGTAGAAACACTACATTATTTGACCACCTGCCATTGTATTTATTCTACTCACTACTCTCTCTCTCTATATATATATATATATATATATATATATATTATATATATATAAATATATATATAGAGAGAGAGACAGAAAGAGAGCAAAAGAGTGGCAAGAGAGATAGTTATCTGCAGTATAAGTGAACGAATATCTATGTATGCCCACCTCCATTCTGCGGCCAGCCTGAGTTTCACCCGTAGTCATCGATATTGCTGTGATGTGTTGCATAAAAGCAACCTCACCAGCACCATCGCTCAGACAGTTGAATGCTCCTTCTTCGCCCGCATAATGGTCATGATCAGTGCATTCATCTACCCGTGTTGGGGCTTTGCAGATTTTACAGATCTTTGATGGATTAAAACCTGCCGGCAAGTACCATCATAAAAACGTTACTGTTGGGGTGCCACATTTTTAGATAAATCTTGTAACATCTACACTGATGGAAATGTTACTATGGGTGCATCAACCTCTCCAACACACACTGCTCATGAGTGCACCCTATAGACATCTATACCGATTAGCGATGGCCATGCTTATTAAATAACTACACTGAATGTGTGACAGCATTTGAGGATTTATTGAAAAATGTAGAAATTAAGCAAGTTGTGAATTACATATTACAAAACATTTTCACATAAATCCCATTGCTAATCACAGCATGATTTAGAAGGTACGCTCGTTATACTCTCGTTTTGGTTTCACAAAAATCTCGCCACTCACCAAGATTATGTTTGTCATCAAGCGCGTTTGGTGCACAGCTATCTCCAAAGAAGTCAACTGCTGACTTCACATAGTTGTTGCAATCGATTCGATTTATAGTGCTGTTTATTAACCTGTAACACAGTACAAATTTATACAACCTATCCAAATGACAATGCCTCTGCTGCACTTATATAATACAACTTTCGACATTGAGCTAGTAAAAGAATAAGAGCACTGAGCTTCGATATGATCTGGTACTGATGTACAGTTTGTTGATGTGATTGACAATGTGATGAGAGGAGTTTCAATAGATCAAGGTAGCATGTCACATTAACCTTAACAAGAGTAGTTAATTATGAGTCGCATTAATTGCATGCAAGTCGAAATACGAATAATTACCTGATATTTAAACTGCCCAAGTTACTTGAATTGTCATGATTATTTTAAGAAAACTCACATACAATATCTGCTCTTATACATACTTAGCAACGGCTACATTCCATGCAGAAGTGCCGACGCTGGGGAAGCAGGCCTTCTTTCCTTCCAAGTCGGGTAGGCTCCTGATATCGTCGTTGTTTGCAGCAACAAGTGCAATTATGCGAACTTTATTGTTCGTGCCTACGGTGGAAACATAATGTATCGGAATCAGAAATACATTGTCTCCAGAATTCCAGTGCCAGCAATATTTTTAACTTGGATACTGCAGCCATGAATCTAGCTGACAAAATAACATTATCTAGTCTAATAAAGTAGAAAGACTTCTAACTAAACTGATGTTTCTGCACTACAAACACAAGATATGGGTGAAGGATAATACCTGTATACTGTTCTGCCATGATGGAAATCATACTGTGCTGTTGGCCTGCTATATAGACATCACCACTATCTAATGTCAACAGGTCAGCTTCATCTCTTTCTATTTGCCTCATGCAACCATATTTGTCTGTAAAAAAAAAAAAACTTAAATGTTACCAGGCACAAAATGTGTGTGTGTGTGTGTCTGTGTGAGTATGTATGTGTGTGTATGGGTGCATGAGCACATGTGCATGCATTTGCGTGGGTAGGCTTCCATGGCTGAGAAGGTCTATGTCCCCCGGGGTACTGCCAGAACGTACCCTGGTACTATCTAATATGCCAGACCGTACCTCGCCTACTCCACTAACGAGTCTAGGGAGTCGCCTACGCCTACTCCCTAACCCTAATTATATCAAATAGTGACCAGGGTACGTTCCGGCAGTATCCTGGGGGACATAGACCCTATGAGCGCTTCCATGTGTGAGTGAAGAGCATATTATGTAACTCCAATATTTATATATAAGTTATCATATACATTAAATCATAGGAAGTTCTTTAATTGCTAAATTGGTATCTGCTAAAATATTAGAAATAATTAGAAGTTTATATTAGTATGGTACCAAGCGCATAGCCGGGAGGGGGGGGGGGTCCTGGGGGCCCTAGGACCCCCCCAATCAAAATCAAAATCCAAAAAAAAATTCAAAAAGAGCTGCAGACGAAATAGTATTGTCAACAAAACAGTGTCTAAATAGATTTTAAAGTACTATTTTTACATTTAACTAAAAAAAAATGTGTTACTCGCTCGAGGACCCCCCAATCCAAATTCCTGGCTACGCCCTTGTATGGTACATGCCTCTGCCAACCACACAGCCCAAAGAAGGTGTCAACCCTTGGTAACGCAGGGTCAGTCTCATATCCGAGCACTTTTTCAACTCTGCTTCGGATGTAACACACCATCGTGCTGAAATGCATCAATACAAACAAATGCAATGTAAAAATAAAATCAAGACTGCAATCAAATACAATAAACTACTACATGACGTACTACATGAAACAGACTAAACGTAGGGTTGCAAGTAAAGCAGTGATAATTTTAGTAGGGCGGACAAATATATGATACTGTAGGCCTACAATCTACAGTACATGATGTCGATGTAGGCTACAAATAAAATGAGCTAACGCCACTGTAATTCGCTTATCCAAATTCTACGTCCTACGGTTACGGCGAATTTAATATTATTACCTTTGCCCGGTAAATCAGCTAGTAATTGTTCCAAAGTCGACGGCACAAATAACAAGCCGATAAACAACACAAAGTGGTGCATTTCCACCATTTTAACGGTCACACCTCGGCAAAACTATCAACAAGTACACTGACCGCTTCGACACGCTACTGATTACAGGTGTGGTGAGTAAACTGCCGGAACGCAGTTTATGCGCGAACAAAGTAGGTCGGATATACAATTGAAATCGCAGCAATGACAATAATATACTGCGCACAGTTGCCATCACGTAGCTATTTTAATACATGTTTAACTATATTGCTTGGTGTTGTATAGCTCGTTGGGCGAGAAGCGAAACAAGATTATGGCATTCCTTTTGAATTACCTGTTTGCGCATTGATATAGTGTTTCGGATGGGCATGATCCGTCAGCGGTGTAAAAGGGAATTGTGCTGGTAGTGAATTTCTCAGACTCCGCTGTGGCCAAACAAACCAGTGAAATTTGTCGACACAAGAAAATCGTCACTTTATAAAACTGATCCCAATAAAATTAGCACACACGCCATGCAGTGATCGATCGATCCATCAATGAATTTTTTATTGTAGCGTATCATGTATGCCACTTCCAAATAAAATATACAGGTGTGTGGTATCAAGTCCGTGACGAGGGTGCGCCGGCCGATCTCGCCAGAACATCGTTCACTGCGTCACTAGGCAGGACCTACTTAGGACGTTTACGGATGTTATACTCTCAGCCGGCATAATTCGGTTGAAAAAATGCCCACTAATCTATTGAGGACGACTAGCTGCCACCTCGCGATTGATGGAATGCACGTGCCACGAATTTAATAAATATGTACGCTTTACTAAAGATCGTGTAGCTGTTAGTAGGGCAGTCCGCATGTTTCAGTGTTTTCCGTACGTTGCGGACTGCCACAGTCTACAGTACTTTTGGTATAACTGCCGTATATTGCTGACGTATTTTGTCGGCCACGTCTCCACAAGGAAAAATAACCTGGGTTACGCTTAAACACTATAATACGTAAGAACCCACAAGAATTCGTTCGTCGAATACTGTGTCAGTGCCGTCACAAGAGGGGTGCGTAGGGTGCGGAACGCACGGGGTGACACCATGAGGGTGACGCCAAAATGACTCTCTACATTATATTTATATTTATACATATATAAGTTCGCAGCTTTGAAGGCCAGGAAAGAAATAAAGTTCTGATTCATTCGAGAAGTTTCACTATAAGTGCTAAAATGCTTCTGTATTTGTTCCTTTTTATGATGTATTTTATTATTTTATTTGTGAGGTGGCTATATTTCTATATATGTATTTGTCTACAACTTCTACATTATTTGAGCCGTTATTGATTAGGCAAACCTAATCCATTAATGTATCTCATGGAACGGTAAAGTTTAAGTTTGAAATAAACATATAGGTTTGATGTAGTTCTTAAACGTTTTTACTTCGAATTCTATTGTTTTCTTCCCGAATTTTCATTTACGGCTTACAACATTACGGCGGTGCGTATGCTATTGTAATTTTCATTTTGCTAGTTGTTTATGCCACTAGTCTACTATTGCCATTACGTTCAGTGATATACGGGAATTCCGATTTACGAGTAACATTAGTACAAAAAACATTACTAAGGATTCTGTATGATCTGGTACGGGATCTAGGCCTACATGGGGTGACACTATGAGTTACCGCACCGTGTGACACCAACAATAGTGACGCCACTGTACTGTGTATGCTTATGCATTCTTAGAGAATTCCGAGAAGACAGAACACCTTGTGATTAATAAAGCGAAAGAGTAGAGTAGAGCTTTTTCATTTGAAGATACTCGTGAATACCGCTTATCTACTTTTAATAAACCTCAACCAAGTAATTTGAGTAGTTACTGAGTACGCGAGCAGAAAATGTTCTTACACGACTCTGTGCATGGGGGGTTCTTATCCGATTTTGAGACGATCGTGCCGGGGTAAAATACTTGGACAAGCAGACGTTCCTGCTAGTTCTAATCCAAGTTCTGCCGGCGTTAAATTAAAATTTAAACAAATACCATTTCTCTTGAAAAACAGGGCATATGCGAATGCACATTTTAGATAAATTTTGAAAATTTTGGCATCTGTTCTACATTTATCAGAGTAATATATTACTCTGTGTGCTCTCTGCTATAGCTCATCGTGTACCCTCTACTAGGAATGTTTCTCTCCCAATCCGTATTGCGTTTAGCAGATATACAGTACATATCTTAATTCTATTCTATAGTATAGGAAAACACTAAAGGGTTCGCAATTTAAGAACCTTTTTAATAACCTCTTCAGGCTGATTTCTCACTATGTGCCATATATAAAAGAACCTCTTCAGCCTGAACCAGGAAATCACGGGTTCTTTTATGCGGGTGTTTACTGTATTAACTTTTCTGATAGCTCACAGACAGAAGTCCGATCAGAAAAGTTGGTGCTATTATAAAAGTTGGTGCACGTGCGTGCTAGTAGGAATGGCAGCCTTGATGCTAGCAGCACTGTCCAGAAATAGTAGCAGCACATATACTAACCTTTTTGAAAGCTCGCTCACGCACACAGACTTTGCTATGAAATAAGGCAGGCATGCAGCGCCATTAAGGTATACCGCTGACCAACTTTTCGAAGCGATGAGTCAAGATAAATATCTTCGGCCGATCTTAGGCGTTCAAAATTGGCAGCGGCATTCCTGCGAAAGATTTGCAGGGTTAAATCCGATCAGACTAATATTTTCCCTTTGGCCGCGGAATCCCGCTACAAATTTTTCATATGCTAATGTACAATGCGATGCGAGCCAGGATAAATATTTTCGGTCGATCTTGAGTGTTCAAATTAGGCAGGGGCATGGCCGTGAGGGATGTGCATGGTAAGATCCGATCTAAAGTTTTCACTTCGGCCGCAGCATCCTGCCACAATTTTTCCCTATGCTAATGTACATAAAATGGCGCTCGCGTCGCTCGTCGCCGTTGCAAACCAAGATAGATATCATCGGCCGATCTTAAGTGTTCAAAATGGGCAGGGGCATGCCATCGAGAGATGTGCATGGTAAAATCCGATCTAAAGTTTTCACTTCGGCCGCAGCATCCTGCTACAATTTTTCCCTATGCTAATGCAGATAGAATTACGTGTGTGGTAGCAACGTGGCAATCTTTTAGAAAACGTATTTTCATGCTTGGTTTGTTGTGATATGACTTGATTCGTGAAGTTTCGCGTGACCTGGATGACGTTATTGGTCGAAGGGAAAATCTGCGCAGTGAACTTACGAAGGGGCGTGGCTACCAACTTATCTCATAGCCAACTTATATGGTACATCACTAATGTGTGCGTGTGTGTGTGTGTGTGTGTGTGTGTGCGCGCGCGCGCGTGTGTGTGTGTGTGTGTGTGTGTGTGTGTGTGTGTGTGTGT